CCCCGCCCTTCACCATCCTCACCTGCCTGTTGCTCCTCTCACTGCCCTGCCTTTGCTCTGCCTGGAATGTGCTTCTTTCCTTGTCCACTGAGTGAATCCCTATTGTAAGGCCCAAACCAAATTTCTTCTCTGTCTAGTCTTCCCCAGTCTTCCCCCATATCCATCAAGGGGAGTGAGTCTTCTCAGTCACTATTGTAGTGTATCCTTGACCACAGTACTTTGCATACTGGATTTCTGGGTCTAATGCTCCTCCTGCCCCCAGACCGAGCTCTGGAAAATGGAGATCACATTTGGTTCATCTCTGTGGGCCCAGCTCCCAGATGGTGCTAGACACATAGTAGGAGTTGTATATTGATTGGCTGATTAGAGGAGACAGAAATGGAAGATTGAGGAGCTGGTATGCTGGGAGTATAGTATACCTTGCGTCTTTTATAAATACAAGCTCACAATGTGTTCCGACTGCATTCTTGCCCAAGGATAGCCTGCTGGGGAAGTCTTCTCTTCTGTGCTCTGGTCTTACCCAGCAGGGAAACATGGTTGACCTGGCTGTGAAATGTACACCTGCTTCTGTGTACAGCCTCATCCCCAGTTACCTGATAAACAAATCACTGATTTATTTACATTTTTAATAAATGCAGCCACAGATACCTTGAAAATTTACCCCAACCCACCCTTTCCCCACCTCCAGCCATTTACCTGCCTTTATGTGGTTTCCAGTGTCAATTCTTTTCTGTGGGCCCTTCATCATTTCTAAGTAATCCGCCACTTCATCTGACTCAGGGCTAGGTTTTCTGAAGTCAAATGCCATATTCTTCCTAACATGCCACCTTGACCCCTTTCCAGGCTTGTGTGTTCATCTCACACCTCACTACTTAACACTGGAGCCAAAGAACAGTGTCTTCAGTCAGCTGCTTCCTCCACATTCATTAATTCATTCTCTCATCAAACTGCTAGATGATGGGATATGCAATTTTATCCAAAAAGACTTTGATCTAGTGGCAAAAGCATACTTAAAACTGAGGTATTATAAGATAGGGAAAAATTGCCATGGAAACACAAAGGCAGGCTTAATAAATGAGGAGTCAAGGAAGGCTTTCAGCAAGAGGTGACATTTTAGCTGTGTCTTGAAAAGTAAATGGAGGTCCTCAAGGAAGAGAAGAGCATTCTAGGCAGAGGAAACCACAGAGCAAAGGCATGAGGGTATGAAAGGCACTGGTAGGTCTGAGAAATTGAGAATTGGTGTGACCAGGGGAGGGAGATCCCTGTTTCCAAGGGGTTTTCTTATGAGCGGAGGCTTGGTGGGAATTGCAAGTGCTCCCTACAGCTGCTTCCAAGGCCCGTTCTGCCTCACAGGTGCTCCCACGGCTGAACGAGGTTCCCAGGGCTGCTGGCACTCCCACCCACTCCCACCCGCTCAGGCGGGTGGCATCCCAGAAGGAAAGAGGCAGGGGAGGAAGCAGATAAGAAAGACAGCTTCTGTTTAGACACAAATATCTTGGTAATCAGCACAGATGGGATGAGAAATACCAAAAAAAGTACATGACAGTTTAGAGCGAATTTGGCTAAATGTTACATATTTTTAACATACCTGTGTAGAGTTTTTGGAACCAGGACCTGAGTCCCTCAGAACCTGATGGAGGTGGGAGACATTCCTCAATCAAGTGGTGCTTTTATTTCAGAAATGTTCCCTTCCCCATCAGCAGAAGTATTCTTAAGATTTTTTTTCTCCCACCAAAATAAGGCACAAGATTTGTCTCTGACGCTGTGTCTCCCTATTTGGACGGCAAGCTGTGTAACATATTTCTCCCCAGCGTGAAGCTTCTTGGCAGACTCTTGAGGCCACGTTTTGGTGGCTTCAGAGTTATCTTTGGATCTGTCAAAAGTGCTAATGGGCTTTCTGGCCTTCTTTAAGCTCCTCATTTCTATTTTCTTTTTTACTTCCATCCTCTCCTAAAAGAAAAATTCATGTAATTCATCAGCAGTTAAAAGCTTTTTATTGAAATGCTCAGCGAAGGGCCTCATATTTTTGTTTGCAAGGAGAGCTCTGCCATGTCACTGTCTTCAGAACAAATCCCGTCCTGACATCATTAGCTCAGTATTTCTCAGTCCACCAGGCAAGGTATACTGGTTGACTCATTCAGACTGCCTTTGGTGTTTGTTTGTTTGTTTTTTAATTCAAGCCTGTTAAGAGGCAGCCTGGTGTGGTGATCAGAGTATGAGTTTTGGATTTTGGAGACCTGGTTTTGACCCTTGGCTCCACCCTTTCTTGGTAACTATTAGAAAATGATTGAACCTTGCTGAGCTTCAGTTTTTCTGTTTATAAAATGGGGATGATATTGCCTATCGTAGGGTTGTTGAGAAGAATAGAGAGAACACAGGTAAGATACCTGTTGCCTGGCACATAAGGATTACTCAATAAATAGGATAACAGTAACTTTTAACAGAAAAAAAATTTCCCCTCCTTTAGGCATACTTTGATCTTGTTTTGTTTCTTTTTTCAAATACGATTTTATCTACAATTTTGAGTGGTACAAAATAGGAGCACAGGCCCACCAGGACTGAATCATGTCCTGTCCACTTACTGTGTGATCTTTGTCAAATTATATCACTTCTCTGTGCCACTGTTTCTCATCTTTTTATAGGGATAAAAAATATCTCAAGGAATGGTTTCAGGATTAAGGGAAATATATGTAGTGGCTTGCACATGGTAGATGTATTTAAGAGGGGCAATATAGTATAAGGAAAAGTGTATATAGGCTATGGAGTCAGATTTGACTCCACCAGTTACTGACTCTCTCTAGCCGTAATTTCTTTATCTCTGCCTCTCTATTAGAAAGAATAGTACCTCATCGAATTTTTGTGAAGACTGCACAAAATTACACACATAAAGTGTCTCGTATAGTGGCTAGCACTTGATAGGTAGTCAGTATATGGAGCTATTAATTCACTTGCTCTTTATTTATAAAGCTCAATGGTTAATCTGGTACTTCAGTCAAACAATAATAAATCATAAGATAAGTGCCCATTTTTATTCCCAGCCCATAATATTGTTGAAAAGCACTTTATGCTATTTTGCATGTAAAATCCACCTGGTTTACTTCAATTTGTGGGTTATGGATCTTTAATCATTATAAACGGCAACCTCTGGCAATAGCATTCCTTCCCTCCCCAACCCCTTTCATTTTTAGAGGATTATATTGTGTGGCATTGAAAACCTGTAACAGTGAAGAAATTAGCATATTCATATGTATTATTAAAGTCAGGTGGGTATAGAAAGCATTGTGTAAATGAAACACAGTTTGTTTTTTCTGAAATCCGAAGAATACCAATCTATAGTACTAATTAAAAGAACGAAGTCCAGGCTACAGGAAAAAAGCTGGCTAAAACACTGCTTTGTCACAACTTGCTGCTGTTTGTCTCCAATTTTTTTCCCTTTTGAGTGAAATACCTGGAAATTGTAAATCTTCAAAATTGCTTTAATTCCAGCTGAGCCATTTTAGTGAATGTAAACTGTGAAGGAGGGGTCCCCAGCAGTGATGACAGGAGAGGAGCTCGCCGGCCTTTGTGGGTGGCTTCTCCTATGTAGAAACAGGCTCTGAGCCAGAAGCAGTTTGGTCCCTGGGTACTTTCTTTTGCTTAGGAATATGACAGTACATTGGGAAGGTTCTAGGATCTGGGGTCCAAAGATCTGAGCAGCAGTTCTGTCTTCATTGCTCATGAAACTGATCTTAGCAAACCTCTCTGACTCTTGGTTTCCTCATTTGTAAGACTGGAGAATTCCTGTCCTGCTTACCTCTTAGAACTGACATGAGGCACAGACACAGTGCTGTGTGCAGCTTCATGTTATAAACTGTAATCACCAAACAAAGGTGTAATTACTCCAGCTTCTTCCTCTCTAAGGTCTCTTCCAACTTTATGTTCTGTAATTTTATACATGAGTGAGATTGGCCTCTCAGGTAGAAAGAATAGGACAGGGGAAGAAAAGAGTATACGTTCTAATTATTTTCCTTTTTCTCATGTTTTTATTAGATACTGTTTGTAATAAGAACAAACAAAATAAGCCCGCAAACCTTGTCTTCTTCTCTCTCCTAGAGAAATCTGACAGAATATTTTGTGGCTGTGGATGTAAACAACATGTTGCATCTGTACGCCAGTATGCTCTATGAACGCCGGATACTCATCATTTGCAGCAAACTCAGCACTGTGAGTAGACAGTCTTGAGACAGGTTTTTAAAAGATTAAATTTAATCAAAAGATATATCATCAAGATTAAAGAAAATTTTAGGAAAAGGAATCAGCCACAATCCCCATGTATGGTAACATGTAATTTTCATTAATTATTCAGTGCCAATGCACATTTCATTTATTCTTAAAGTCTCACAATTATAAATAGATTTCCATTTGATTGTGTGTGATGAACATTTTACATATTTCTACATGAACTTCCATTATTGTCATTTTTAAAAAATGTCTACACCATGTTCCATTATACAGATGTGCCATCATTTACTAAGTTTTCTCCATTGGCCATTTTGCTTGTTCATAATTTAATTCTTTAGTAGATAATGCTGCAGTGAACATCTTTCATCTTCCTTTGACTGATATGGTTCATACCCTAATATTGGGATACAAGGTCAAAGAACTTGATAAGCACTATGACTTAGGGACTACCAGATTGCTTCCCAAACAGTGTGTGTTTACAGTGAATGCTGCCAGCTGTATATGAGTGTACCATTCTCACTGCAGTCTTGCCAAAAGGTATGTGTGTGTGTGTTCATGCAGGTGTTTTAATTTTGCTAATAAAGCAGATATAAAATTGTACTTCAGGTTTGCTTTAATTTACATTTCTTTGGTTAGAGGTAACTGAATGTTTTTCATGGGATTATTTCCTATTTGTATTTTGTTGCTATCTTTTCCCATTTGTTTTATAGGGGTATTAATGTTTTTCTTATAAATTGGAATGAACTCTTTATATATTGTAATAACTTATTGTGTGTATAATATAAATATTTTTATATTCCTTTTATTTCAGTTTTTTTCACTTGCTAAGTATAGGTTTTATTTTCCCCAGTATCTTATTGTGGAAATTCTCAAGCATTATAGAAAGTTGAAATCATTTCACAATGAATGCTGATATAATTCCATAACATTTTACTATAGTTACTTTGTCACCTATTTATTCATTTATTCATCCTTCACACCATCCATCAGTCCATCTTATTTTTTGATGCACTTAAAAATAAATCATAGGCATCACTATACATCCCCTGAAATAATTCAATATTTGCAGAGTTTTTTGTTTGGTTTGGTTTAGTTGTTGTTGTTTTAAGGTAAAACTTATATACAGAAATTGCCTAGTAGTAGAATGCTTAATAGGCATCCCTCTGTGAGAGGAGGTAGATAAACCTTTTTATAGTGGGGAGTTCTCTATGGATAAAATTAGTTGTACAATTACCGAGGAATAAAAGGTCCCTAATAATGAAAACTTTTTTAGACTATTAGAATTTTCTTTATGGCAATTGGGCACAGTGACTCATGACTGTAATCCCAGTACTTTGGGAGGCCAAGGCAAAAGGATTGCTTGAGCCCAGGAGATCACAACCAGCCTAGGCAACATAGCGAGACCTCATCTCTACAAAAAATATCAAAAAATTAGCTGGCTGTAGTGGTGGGTACTTATAGTCCCAACTACTTGAGAGGCTGAAGTGGAAGCATCACCTGGGCCCAGGAGGTTGAGGCTGTGGTGAACCATGATCATGCCACAACACTCCAGCCTGGGTGACAGACTGAGACTCCAGCTCAGAAAAAAAATAAAGAATTTTCCTTATGGTTTATGTCATACCTTTATTATTTCTTTGTTTATTGATTGCTTGTCAAGAACTCACAATTTTTTGAATGCCTAACTATAAGCTAGACTCATAGCACATAGTAGGTGACGAAAGCATGATCCTTGCCCTCAAGGTAAGACCTCTTACTTTGTTTTGCATTTTATTTTACAGCATAAATGCAGTTCATAATCTCAGGGCATGAACACCCATACTGAATTTCAGAATGAGAGTATTGTCAGGCAGATTTAATATTTCTTTAAGGGACCCAGTGGAATGAGGGTACATTTGAAAGAGTCTAGCCCATAACCAGTTACTATTGCTTTGGATTATTAAGCTTTAGCCAAACAAAAACAGGACATCATTTCAGTGAAAATGACTTCCCTATCATTTAATCTTGGTATTTATGAGCCTTTAGCATGTGCCTAAGTATAGTCTTAAACACTGTACATATATTAACTCATGTAATCCTTATTACAACAGCTTTGGTGGGTTCATAAAAGAATTTATCTTTCATGTGAGTTTGTTCTCATAAATGGGTAGATTAAACACATAGAATTATTTCTGCTCCTTTCCAAAACTAAATTGAAATGAAGGAATAAATCTACAAACATAAAGAATGATGCACCAGAGATTTTTAAAATAGTAAGAATATACTGTTATCAACTTTATGCTAGTATTTGAAAACTAAGATGAAATAGACAGAACAAAAATAATTTACCAAAGTTGACTCAAGAAGAAATAGAAAATTAAATAGGTCTCTTAATTTATAGAAATTGAATTAATACTTTACAATATTTTTCTTGGTCAAATAGTCAGCCCAGGTGGTTTTACAGATATGTCTTATTAACCATCTCAAGGAACAGATAGCTTCAATCTTAGACAAACTCCTTAAGAATCTGAAGAAAAAGAATATACAACCAAGCCTTTCTTGTATAACTTTGACATTCATTACAAGGAGACAGTACAAGAATAACTAAGTTGGGCTAATTTCTAGAAATGTAAGGTTGATGATACTAGAAAATCTATTAATATAATACACTAATATATTAAAAGGAAGAACGTTTATGGTTGCCAGTAGATGGAAAAAAGCATGATCATGCTCATGAATAGAAAGACTTGATATCCTGAAGATATCATTTCACTCCAAATCTATAGACTGAATTCTATTCAACATCCCAATAGGATTTTACATAGTAACTGACAAACTGATTATAAAATTAATATGGAGAAATCAAAGAAAGAACCAAAACATACTTGAAGAAAACAAATGGTTTGTGGAAGCTTGGCTTTACCAGATATCAGAACTTTCTATAAAGCTATGGTAATTAAGATGCTAGTAGTAGAATAGGGATATACAAATAGACTGAAGGAATAGAAAAGAAAGCCCAGAAACAGACCGTGTGTATGTGGGCTCTTTATCTAAAATGGAGGTAGAATCTCTGGGGAATGGATGGACTTTTCAATAATTGGCTATCCACAAGGGGAAGAAAAGGAAGACAACTTCTGTCATGCACATACAAAACTAAGTTCCAAAGGGATCTAGAACTTAACTGTGATAGGCAAAATTTAAAAACATTTAGGTCTGGGCGTGGTGACTCTAACCTGTAATCTCAGCACTTTGGGAGGCCGAGGTGAGAGAATTGCCTGAGCCCACAGTTTTGAGACCCGCCTGGGCAACTTGGTGAGACCTCATCTCTACAATGAAAATAAGGAAGCCAGGCTCGGTGGCTCAGCCTGTAATCCCGCGCCTTTGGGAGGCTGAGGTGAGTGGATTACCTGAGCCTGCGGGTTCAAGACCCGCCTAGGCAACTTGGCGAGACTTCATCTCTACAATAAATCAAAAATTAGCCGGGCATGGTAGCGCGCGCCTGTAGTTCCAGCTACTCAGAAGGCTGAGGCGGAAGGATCGCCGGAGCCCAGCAGGTCAAGGCTGCGGTGGCCAGAAGCGGCCACTGCACTCCAGTCTGGGCGACAGAGTGAGACTCCAACTCAAAAAAAAAAAAAAAAAAGAAAAGAAGGAAAATAAAGTAAGAACAAAAGAAGATCATCACTAAAGAGACAAAAATTATTTTTAAAAACCACACAAAAATTCTGAAAACTAAAAATACAGTAACTAAAATGAGAAATTCACTAGAAAGGATCAACAACAAATTTGAGGCAGAAGAAAGAATCAGCAAACTTGAAAATAGGCAATTGGAATTATTCAGTGTAAGAAACAGAAAGAAAATAGTAAATAAAAATGAACCTAAAGCCGGGCTCGGTGGCTCAGTCTGTAATCCGGTGCCTCTGGGAGGCTGAGGTGAGTGGATTGCCTGAGTCTGCGGGTTTGAGACCCGCGTGGGCAACTTGGCCAGACCTCATCTCTACAATAAATCAAAAAATTAGCCAGGCGTGGTAGTGCGCGCCTGTAGCTCCAGCTACTTGGAAGGCTGAGGCGGAAGGATCGTCGGAGCCCAGCAGGTTGAGGCTGCGGTGACCGGGAGCGGCCACTGCACTCCAGTCTGGGCGACTGAGTGAGACTCCAACTCAAAAAAAAAAAAAAAAATCAAAAAAATTAGCTGGGCGTGGTAGCGTATGCCTGTAGTTCCAGCTACTTAGAAGGCTGAAGCGGAAGGATCACCTGAACCCAGCAGGTTGACGCTGGAGTGACTGTGAGAGTGCCACTGTACTCCAGCCTGGGTGACGGAGTGAGACTCCAACTCAAAAAAGAAAAAAAAAAAGAAAAATTTAGAAGACAAAGTAGGAGAATAATTCTTTATACAATGGAAAAGATTAAAACTGTAAGCTTTTGTTCATGAAAAGGTACCTTTCAGTGAATGAAAAGACAAGTCACAAGCTGATATATTTGCTGTATAAAAGAATTGACAGAAAATTAGTATCAGAAATATATAAAGAATGACTACAATTTAAAAAACAGGGCATCCCCTTCGGGTCCCCTCCCACTGTGGGAGCTTTTCTGTCCTCTTAATAAATTCTGCTTTAAAAATAAAATAAAAAGCAGAAGAGTAGCCTATCAGTAGAAAAACTGGCAAAACACATGAATGGGCATTTCACAGAAGAAGTGCAAATGGCCAGTAATTATATGGAAAGATGTTCAACTACATTAATAATCATAAAAAAGCAAATTAAAATGACAGTGATTACAACACCAGATTTGCAAAAGTTAGGTGTCTGACAAAGCCAAGTGCTGTTTTGGAGACACATTAGAAAATTTCATTGTTAGTATTTGAAGGGTATGTGGTACAAAACTATTTGCACATGCCCATCACTCAGCAATTCTACACCTGGGTGGAATTTTGTGTGTGTACACATACCCCTTGGTCATATATAGTGCTATTCAGGAATATTCGTAGCGGCATTTCTTTAACCCTAGAA